GTAAGTAAATCTTTAAAAAAAGATTATTCCAACTGACCTTGGAACAACAGAGTATTACATCTTCAGTATATATTCCAAGATTAGCAATCTTAACTTTTATTTAATAGTCCCACTAATGTATTACAAACAAAGCATACAAGGAATTAATATCATTATTAATTACTTAGAAATATAAAATCAAAAGTAGTAAAGACCCTGTAATCTTACATTTGAAACTGCAATATTAGTACAAACTCAAAATTTTCCCCTATAGCAATTTACTAGCTCTGCCCACTGAAAAGCACTAGAAGGAAAGGCAACATGGTACTAACAAGTCCCTTCAACTTTAGAGACTGTGGTCTCTAAAGGGAACCAGTGTCCCTGCAGAAATGGCCAATTCCAGATGTAGACAGCAAATGCAGGGACAGAGATGACAGAAACCACATCAAAAGGAGCTTACTGAAGGCCTGAAGAGGATCCTAACCAAGGATGGGCTAATTTGAACAAAAAGAATAATACCAGCAACCAGTTGAAATATTAGATACATATTTTAAAAAGCCATGAGCTCATAATGTTATTAAAAAAAAAAAAAAAAGGACAGCTACCGAAAAGCAAACAAAATGTACTAAATCCTAATGGAATTTGCTAAGGCATATGGTCAAGTACTCTGAAAACAGACAAAGAGAAAGAATTATGTACTTTGAATTTGTTTATTTATCCTTTATTTTAAGGTCAACAGGGGACACTAATGGATGAGGGGACATTCTTCTATACAAAATAATTCCAACTAACAGTGCAAAGAAATAAAAAAAAAAAAAAACACTGTTACACAATTTACAATGAAATGACTGATTAGGTAATGGTCACTGATGACAAGTTGAAATTACCAGGCAAAAGGCTGACCAGGACCTTCACCATGAAGGAATCAGACTTGTACCATCTAGGTCCACGGTCAATTTTAGCATCAATAAAGACAGGATGGCTAGATGTGTTTGCCTTTTATTATGTATACTGTACCACTGTATCCCACTTCTCAAAAACTCAGCCCAAATCTAATCATCTTTAGTTCTAATTTTTAGAAATAAAGAGGCCACCATAATTAACCAAATAACCACAGGAAGCAAATGCAGCCAAATGCAGAACGTGGAATGTCCTTTATTTTCCATCAGAAAACTGATGGTTTTCTGAAAACACCAGAAACTGACTGGTTTCTGCAAAGAGTCAACAGAATACTAAGAGATGGGGATGAAGGGGAGGAGAAATTGTTCTATAATAAAAGCAACTTAAGAAACCTCACAGCCAAATATAGGGAGTGGACTTTGTTTGACCTTGATTTGAATAAAAACAACTATACAAAAAATTTAGCCCATCAGTGAAGTCTGAGTATGAACTCAGTATTAGATGACATTAAAGGACTACTATTAATTATAATAGGTAAGGCAATGACATTGTGTTATGTAAGAAAAGTCTCTCTTTTTTGGGGATATATAACTAAGATACATTTGGGATGGAGTGAAATTATTTACCTTATAAAACCCCAGCAAATCAAAAAGGTTTGAGGCAGGTAGACAGACATACAGAAAGACAAAGGGAGGATACTAATGCTAGTTCAAATGGGGTAACAGGTAAATAGCAGTTCACTATATTTTTTGTGTACATTTAGATAAGTAACGATGCACACACATAAAAGGGGCTGCAGGTGGAGACCTAGGACTGAAAAGCTACAGAATTTGAGGAATATGTTGGGCAGCAATGATAACAATGATCCATAGTGGCTACTCTGATCTTAAGGGAAAATCAGAAAAGAGAGACAAATCCTCTCATGCAAGGGAACTTGTGGAGAAAGCTTGCTGGACAAAGATGTGCCATTATCCATAGGAGGAGGCAGCAAAGGAAGGCTGGACTCTAATTTGGGTCCTCTCAGAGGCCTGCACCCACCCATGCAAAGTATGGGGACAGTTTCAACTTAGAGCAGCCACAGGTTTGCAGAGGACATCAAGAGAACCTAATTTGGAAGGGAGCTGCCTACAAGGAGGAAGACTGCTATAGAAACAGGATTAGAATTTCTATAAATTTTACCCTAGAAAGGAATATCTAAATTTTATCTTAGGAAGTAAAAAGATTAACTGAAATTAAAGTGAAAGCTAATGTTACATTATGCACTCAACTCAAAGTTTAAAACTGGTCATTCCTTAAAGGTGAATTATATATATATAAAAAAACACAGAGACATGAACACATGTAACTGTTCTTCAATGGGGAAACGGCAGAACACTTTCTCTGGAAGAAGCTGAATGACACTGTTACCATGGTGTGATGATGAAAACACACATAACATGCAACACTCACAAACTCAGACACATACACACATGCACACACACATGATTTTACGAAATGCTAAAAGTGTCTCTGTATACTTTGACATCGTGCTTAAATGCTTGTATATCACGGCTTAATGTAGGTATTTCTCTTTTTTACTTTCATTGTACATATTAAAAGAATTTCATTTAATACCCTAAAATAACACGCAGCTTCTTTTATTTCAGCTGATATAATAAAAAATTACAGCCATTATGAACATAGAGTAAACTGCTCATCTTGGGAGAATAATGCAATAGGAATTCATTTATTTGACAGTCATGTAACATTTGACATTTGATATAATGTCTGTGTCAAACATTACATTAGCATTAAGAGAGTGGGGCAGCAGTCCACAGCAGTTATATTAGGTACATTGTGTCATGTGTTGCTACCAAGATAAATATAAGAGGACAGAAGGAAAGACTTCTGTTCCCTGCTCTCTCAGAATCCCCTAAGAAACAATAAGGTAAAACAAGAAACTGGAGCACTAAACCAGGCAAAATCTCCCTCTCTGGCCACCGTTCACTGTGCAACTGGGGAGGCTCAGGGGCTGGAAGCACCAGGTGTGGCAGAGGCAGGCCCATACTGCAGGTGGTTACACCTTCAGCCACAACTGTGGGGATGGGAAGGCTATTCTCCGGAGATATTAAACCCAAGAAGCCCTGCACTGGGAATGGCAGGAATTGCAGAGGGTAGAGCTGAGGCTGGAAAACACGAGGGGAGTGACGGAAGAAGGCTTGTGGCAGATTGTGCCTGGGGGGGGGGGGGGGGTCCGTGTGGCAGCAGAGATTCTGGGAGCCCGAGGGGCTGGGACACAATCTGCCACAAGCCTTCTTCCGTCACTCCCCTCGTTCACTGTGGAACCTGGGGAGGCTCAGGGGCTGGAAGCACCAGGTATGGCAGAGGCTGATTTAACTAGGAGTAGTGATAAAACTCTATTTGGAAGTCAAGAGATAAGAGAGTTACATCCTCACCTATCATGACAGGGAATCAACTAATAGTTTCTAGAATATTATTAAGGATAATGGAAGCAACACAACCAGAAGACTTGAAAGAGGTGGAATCTCAGGCACAGGATCAAAGCACTGGACAGAAGTGAGATGGGATTGTGTCAGCACTGTGTGATTTCTTTTCTTTTCTTTTTTATTTTAAGATTTATTTATTCATTTTAAAGGTGAGTTACAGAGAGAGACAGGGAGAAACAGAGAGAGAGAGAGAGAGGGATCTTCCATCTACCCAAATGGCTGCAACAGCCAGGGCTGGGTGAGACTAAAGCCAGGAGCCAGGAGCTTCTTTGGGGTCTCCCATGTGGGTGCAGGGGCCCAAGGACTTGGGCCATCTTCTGCTGCCTTCCCAGGTGCATTAGCAGTGAGCTGGATTGGAAGTGGAGCAGCCAGAACTTGAACCGGCGCCCATATGGGATGCTGGCACTGCAGATGGCAGCTTTACCCGCTACACCACAGCTCTGGACCCTAAAGCATGTCACATATCTCACTTTGATAAAAATAGCAATGAACGGGACCTGAATCGTTGTGCAGGTTAAATTGGTACCTGCAAGAGAGATACAAAAATGGAGGCTCTCTTCCCACACCCCCTCAGTAATTCTGCTTTTCAAATCAACAAATAAATCTTATTGAAAAAATAGCAGTGAATGTATTAATGATCAATATGACAATATCCATGGTTGTTTTTTTTTTTTTTTTTTAGATTTATTTGTTTGTTTCAAAGGCAGAGTTACAGAGAGAGGAGGAAGAAATGGAGAGATATCTTCCATCCCAAATGGCCTCAATGGCCAGGGCTGGGCCAGGTTGAAGCCATGAACCTGGACTTCCATCTGGATCTCCCACATGGACTTGAACCAATGCTCATTTGGCATTCCAGTGTTGCAGACAGTGGCTTACCACACTGGGCCACAGAGCTGGCCCCAATATCCCTATTCTTAAGAATTTGATATACTATTGAAAGAAATATGTAGAACAACAATTACAGCAGCATCCAATCAAGGGCTTATGTACCGGATCTCAGTCAAGTGAAGAAGGCTCTTGAGAAAAGGAGATGATTTGGGTTTAAAAGATGACAAACAGGAGCTGGTGTTGTGGCACAGTGGGTTTAACTGCTGCCTGCAATACCAACATCCCATCTCAGAGCACTGATTTGAGTTCCAGCTGCTCCACTTCAAAGCCAGCTCCCTGTTAAAGTGCCTAGGAAAAAGGTGAAGACTGCCCAAGTACTTGGGGCCCTGCCACCCACTAGGGAGACCAGATGAAGTTACGTGCTCCTGGCTTTGGTCTGGCTCTGTCTGGGCATGCTACCATTTGGTGAGTCAACCAGTGGCTGGAAGAACCCTTTGTCTCCCTGTGTCTCCCTTGTTTTCTATCACTCTGCCTTTCAAAATTCAAAAATTCAACAGTATAAAAAATTTCAAAATAAAAAGTAAAAAATCCTGCCTTGTTCTCCTATTTCTCCTTCACAAGAGCAAGCACTCCAGAATTCCTTCCAGACCTTTTTCTAGAAAAATACACACATGTGAATGCTATTCAGTGCAAGGAAATACAATTACTAATGCAGTTTATACACACATGTGTATCATCCTCTTACAAGTTTTCAAGTCTCTTGGTTGAAGGACTGTGTACGAAGAACTTCACTGCACGTCAACTCACCAACGCAGTCACAGCACTCGTCCCAGAGGGCCCCGAGACACAGCATACACTCCTTACAGCAGGAACAATTCCCTTCACCAGGCCGGCACTGGCAGAGCTCCTAGAGACAATCGAGAGAATGCAAGTTATGATTGTTATTTTTTAAGCAAAAAGGGCCTACAATATTTGCATTTATAGTTACTTGATATAATTTTTTAAAGTATTTATTTATTTGAGAGAGGACGAGAAAGTATGTGCGTACAAGTAGGAGCTCCCACCCACTGGTTCACTCCCCAAATACCCACAATGGCCAGGGCTGAGCTGGGCCTGAACCCAGGAGCCAAGAGCCAGGAACTCAATTTAGGTGTCCCCCAAAGGTAGCAGGAACTCAATTGTGCCATCACTGCTGCCCCTCAAAGTCTGCATCAGCAGAAAGCTACAATCAGGAGCCGGAGCCAGGAACTAAACATAGGTACTCCAACCTAAGTTGTGGGCATCTTAACCACCAGGCCAAATGCCACCCCATATTTTTATTCAACATCATTAACTTTTTGTAAGAATATAAATATTTATAGTATCAAGTAGATTTATTTTCTTTTGGATATATTTAGTGAATGTATACTGGATGCTTTTACTTTATTTTGAAACAAAGAAAACATTTTACTTTATAAGCTATAACTTCAGCCTTATACCAACTCAACAAAATAATTCAGTACAATAACAGATCCTACTTTTCAGCAACTGGACTGACCGTCCAAATAAATCTAAACCAATAGTCAACTTGTAGTGGGAGCTGTGGCTTTCTGATATGTAAAGTATGATTTATTTATTAAAATATTTATTTATTTGAGAGGTACAATTACAGACAGAGAAAGGTCTTCCATCCTCTGGTTCACTCCCCAAATGGCTATAACAGTGGGAGCTGAGCTAATCCACATGGGTTCAGCGGCCCAAGCAGTTGGGCCATCCTCTACTGCTTTCCCAGGCTATATCAGAGAGCTGGATTGGAAGAGGAGCAGCCAGGACATGAACCAGACCCCATATGGGATGCCAGTGCTGCAGGTGGAGGCTTAGCCTGGTACACCACAGCACCGGCCCCGTAAAGTATGAATTAAAGCACCTTTTAAAAATACTATTTTTTGATCATGTGATGTATGAAAACATTGTGTGTGATGTGATAGATTAGCGGGCAGCAGTTACTCCTCTCCCTGTACCTCCTCTCTCTGCAGTGTGACTTTCCAGCTCTTCAAGGGATAAGGTCTATTTCCAGACCCCTTGAATTTTAGGGATCATGAGATTCACTCAGATCAACAGAATTTGGTAGAAGTAACATCATGTCATTTCTGAGTCTAGGCCTCAAAAACCCTTGAGTGTGTCCACTCTTTCTCTATAACTTTGCCCAGTGCTGTGTGAAGCCCAGTATAACCCCACGTTGACAAGTCAGTCCACTTGAAGGCAACCCAAATCAGCCAGCTTCTAACATACCAGCTGCCAATAGCACACATGGGAGTGAGGCCAGCTCTCAGCTAATCCAGGCCCAAAATGCCAACCCACAGAAATAAAGACTAAGTAAGTGAGGATATTTTAAATCACTGAATTTGCGGGTGAGTTGCTGGACAAAATCTAACCAGTATCACCTGCTTTGCGAATGGAGCTCAGGGAATTCCTTCCGCACTGGCCCATCACCTCCATGCCCCAGCTGCCACTCCACAACCTGACCTACACGGATGCTCTACAACCACCAGTGCTCGCTGGGCTCTCCCTATTTAAGAGAGACTACGTAGGAAGAACATTAATATTTTATAACTTCGTCGAAAGTAACTTGGCAAAACTAATTTTACTCTGAGGCTTAGAAGGAACTGCACAGGTCCACCAGACCATCCTGCCATCTAACACTTGAACCTCTTCTATAATACCCCATCACCAAACGGTCATTGTGGTCCACAGTGGATGAGGAATTTAACAATCCCAATACCCTGTCCCAACCTTGTAGCCCTCTAGTAAGTGTTTCCTTATGTTGAACTGAAGTATGATTCCCTGGGGCTGCTTGCCCAATAACAATGTGTCCCCAACAAAGTCATTCTCAATTTTCACACTGGCTACACTAGACTCTTGGACAATCTCTCTACCCTTCTTGGTTACAAACCACCCTTGGTTCCCACAATCCTGGATTTTGGCAGATATGACTTGAACTATATGACCTTTCTTCTCCCAGACTACAAATAATTGGAACAAAGGCAGACTGTAGCTGATCAATCATGTTTTCCCCCAAGATTTCGGAAGTGGGACACAAATGTCTTTTACTCTTGGTTAGGAACGTGCACTGCGGTGTGATGGAAAGCTGGGATTGGAGAGGCCATGTTCGGCCACATATGTAGTCACAGGAGAAGAGCACTGAATAGAGGGAAAAGCCATTTTGCTTCCTTGTAATGATTTAATTCTTGGTTCTAGTCCTTTGAGAGGTCTAGCTGTACTTCTTGTCAGAGATATTCTTACTAATTGGAATAAGCTTTAGTCCCTTTCAACAAAAACACTGCTTAAAACAAAAGAATGCCTTTTACTCCCGTCTGCTCATTTTAGATCAGACACTCCCAATGATTTCTTCCATTGCTACCTATGACTTGATGTTACATTTTATTTTATTTTTAAAATTAATTAATTTATTTGAGAGACAGAGAAAGCTCCTGTCTGCTGGTTTCCTCCCCAAATGCTTTCAACAGCCAGGGCTGGCCCAGGCCAAAGTCAGAAACCAGAAGGTAGGAACTTAATCCAGGTCTCCCACTCGGGTAACAGGAAACCGTCTACTGGAGCCATCCACCACCTGCATCAGCAGAAAGCTAGGATTGGAAGCGGAGCTGAGACTCGGATGTGGAGGTGAGCATTTCAAGCGGCATCTTCACTGCTGGGCCAAACGCCTGCCCCTGGTGTTCATGCTATCACCCTTCAATTAGCATTGTCATTACCTAAAACTGTGGTGATCTTAAATTCTCTCCCTCCTCTTCTTCCAGGGAATAATATAACTGGCAAGAAGCAGAGTAGAACTCTTACCATCTTGATTTTGGGCACTACTTTTTAATATTAAAGTAGCCTAAAATTAGTTTGTTTTTGGTAGAAATATGCTATTAGTACTTATCCTATTTTCACATTATTCCAACAATCAATTTCAGTAAGAATTTAAAAATCTGAGACTTAATCAAACATTACTAATTTACATGCTTTTAAAAATTAATTACTGTTGGGGCTTGTGTTGTGGTGTAGTGGGGTATAAAGCTGCTGTATGCAAAGCCAGCATCCCATATGGGCACCAGTTTGAGACCTGGCTGCTCTACTTCTGATCCAGTTCCCTGCTAATGTGCCTAGGAAACAGTGGAGGATGGCCCAAGTGCTTGGGCCCTTGCTACCTACATGGGAGACCCGGAAGAAGCTCCTAGCTCTTGGTTTCATCCTGGCCCAGCCCCAGCTGTTGTGGCCATTTAGGGAGTGAACTAGTGGATGGAAGATCTCTCCCCACCTTTCTCTGCAGTTCTGTATTTCAAATAAATAAATAAACATTTTTAAAAAGTAATCACTGTTATATAACACTGTTTCTCTAAGTTAATACTACATTTTAAAAATTTAAACATAAAATTTATACCTATTAAATTCATCTTGCTGCATTTCTAGACTACTGGAGTCAGATTATTGCAGCAAAGATTTTAATTCCTTGCTTCTGTCATCTCCAGAAATCCCTTAGCTGTTACACAGCACTTTCAGGAATCAATACTTGTGGTATTTTCTAACTGACTCAGTAGTTGGAGGTTAGTGCAAGTGACCTAATATAAATGAACTATGTTAGTGTTGTGGAATTCTAAACCCAAGCTACACTCCGGTGATACAGGCATTGGGCAAGCAGGAACTTACAGAGAAGTATAAATACTTCATCACAGACTGCAACCCTGATTCAGACAAGCTCAAACTTACCTGGAAATCCAGAAAAGCAGAGTTGCCAAAGCTATACGTTGTGACTTGCTTCTTCATAAAACCTGTCTGTCTTGGGAGTCAGAGAACATTTTAATTTTCTGAATACAGGTTTTTTTCTTTTTTAATCAGAGTTAGGGACACCGAGACTTTATTTTTTGGTTTTATAAAGATTGTCACCGGGGCCAGAGCTGTGGTGTAGTGGGCTAAGCCTCCGCCCGTGGTGCCAGCATCCCATATGGGCACCAGTTGGAGTTTTAGCTACTCTACTTCCGATCCAGCTCCTTGCTAATGTGCCTGAGGAAGCAGCAGAGGATGGCCTGAGTGCTTGGGCCCCTGCACCCATGTGGGGAGACCTGGAAGAAGCTCCTGTTTCCTAGTTTTGGATAGGCCCAGCTCCAGCCATTGCAGCCATTTGGGGAGTGAACCAGAGGATGGAAGACCTTTCTCTCTGTTTCTCCCCTTCTCTGTCATAACTCTACCTCTCAAATTAATAAATAAAATTTTTTAAAAAAAAGTTTTATTGATTTGGAAGACAGAGTTACAGAGAGAGGTAGAGAAAGAGAGAGGGCGGTCTTCTATCCACTAGCCCACTCCCCAAATGGCTGCAACAGCTGGAGTTGAGCGGATCTGAAGCCAGGAGCCCGGAGCCTCCCCTGGATTCCCAATGTGGGTGCAGGGGCCCAAGCACTTGAGCAATTCTCTGCTGCCTTCCTAGGCATATTAGCAGGGAGCTGGATCAGAAATAGAGAGCTGGGACTCGAACAGGTGCCCGTGTGGGATGCCTGCACTGCAGGCCAGGGCCTTAACCTGCTGCTCTGAATGCTGGCTCCAATAAATAAAATCTTTAAAAAAGATTGCCACTTAGTCACAGGAAATAAGCTTCTTTTAAATTTTAGTTAATAGTATACATAGGAAATATCCCTTTATTATCTAAGTTCCTTATAATTAACTATTATTTACACTACCTGGGGAGAAATAAATTGGAAAATTAAAACCAACAAGCCTGTGCAAAAGCTGCTTGAACTTGTCTGGGCTTTCTAGCCTTGAGAATTAAATGTACTTCACAGGAACCTAATAGATGCCTGTTTTGCACCTTCACATGTTGCTCTGATAGGACAACATACTGTAGTATTAGACTTACTGATTTATAATTCATGATAG